AAAAAAAAAAAAAAAAAGCGAATTTATCTTCTAGTGGTACATTTTAAGTAGTTTTTTTTTTAATTAGTGGTTATTTTTTATATTGGTATTGGGTTTGATTAATCTTTGGAGTAAATTAGAGGACCAGCTACGGTCCTAGTTATCGCGTTCTTATATTAATAAAGAAGATGACTTATGAACTACTACTACTAGCTTTCGCCCGCGACTCTGTCCGCGTGGAATTAAAAAAATCAAAACTGAGTAGCCTAAGTGTTCTTCCAGACTTCTACGTCTATGCCAAATTTCAGCGAAATCCGTCCACACTTTTAGCTTTCAAACTCTAACAAACATCCATCCATCCATCTAAACTTTCGCATTTGTATTATTTGTATGATGTAATAGATACTAAACTATCGCACAACTGTGCGATTGACTTATAGGAATCAAAGTGCGACAAAAAAGTTGTGCGATAGTTTAGTCAAATGTGTTCGCGCGCTCTTAAATGGACATTGTTACGTAAATAGCATGTTATAACGTAATAATAAAGGGCCAACAAGGTTATGGTTTCATCGATTGCGTGAGTACAGAACATACGTTTAAACATAGCGCCTCTAAGCTCACCATTTTGAACCATTATCTGATTAGATCGTTGTTCTACACTTTATGTATGATTTTGACTCTTACTACAAAGAGAATAAGGTGCAATATACCTTTTACTATTTAACTACATCCCTTCGGGCCATGATGACATCTGATGGTCAGTAAATGTCGATTTCTCTGATAATCCAGACCAGAAATATTTCCATGTCTCATTGACAGTTTTGATGTTTTTGTAAAGATGTTATATTCAATGTTTTTATATTGATTTTTTGTTTGCAGGATCGTTGGGTGGTGAATTTTAGTAGGATTCTTTTTTTAAGGTTAGTATTGACATAATAGATTTTTAAATTAATTCACTTGTTTTGTTATTAATTCATATAAAGGTCTGAGGCTGAATAAAGCATTTATACTTATCTTAATTACGTTTTTAATGGAATTGTTTATTTTGCGATTTCATAAGATGCCTAACAATTTGCATAGCAAGGATTAAATAATGTATGTATTTTTTTATGTTTTTAAAATTTATAATAATAGTAACATTTAAAATTGAGTTACGTTGGCTACATTTTATAACATAAATGGAATGGTATTCGTTACTGTTACTCGTGAAATGAAAAATAATTTTAAAGTTGTACATTTACTAAGTTTCATAACTTGTGTAAGTCACGTACAAACGTTTCCTAGAAACGAGGAATGTGTGCAGAAAGCCACGATTCTTGCTTTTTAGAAATACTTTAACTGAACATTGATTTACTGGTCTACAATTTGCTGAGAAAAAACTTGACGATTTATTGATTTTACTGTTTACGTATTTTTTATTGTTACTTTATAAGTTGCCCGTGACTGCATCCGCGTGGAATTAAGATAGAAGTAAGAGTAAGTAGCCGATGTGTTCTGCCAGAATATGCTCTACATCTATCCCAAATTTCATCGAGATCCGTTCAGCAGTTTATGCTAGAACTCTAATAAACCACCGTCCATCCATCTAAACTTCATTTTTTATTCGCATTCATAATATTAGTAAGATATTCTAATGTTTAATTTTTTCGCAAAGCAAGATTAAATTATTTTGACATATTACATAGCATATAACTAGAATTTTTAACCTATTCAACCCTTTTATTACTTATTCGTCTCAACAATAACAATGTCCTCACATCATTTGCATTTCGCGTATGAAAATTATTCAAATGAGTCGTCAAAATATGAGTTAAATACCGTTAGCCCTTTTGTAGTTAGGGCTGCCAACTTTTAAGAAATAGAAACTGGCTTCAAAAAATCGTCTATCAGTGACTTATGGCTTGAATGTGGGGTCCCGACAAGGATGGTGTAATGACAAAAAAGTTCAGTCAAACTCTAAGATGTGACAACCCTGTGTTGGGCAAAGTGACAGTCGTTTATCCGAGAGGTCTCATGCTAACCGTTGACGCCAAAATATCACATGACTGACGGAATATTAATAGAGTTATTTACATTTTTAGATTAATCCATTTAGAAACTGTGTTTATTTTATTAAGATGAGTATTGCTACTGTTTTGTTAAAGTGCTTGGCTTTGACAATTTTATAGTTTTAATTTAAATTCCTTAAATTATTCGACGCGGGGCTAAAATTCCCAACACAATAATCAATTTTAGTAAATATTGTTTGTCTATTATGATCTTTGTCATCAGCCTTTATCCGCCCAATTTTGGACAAAAGTCTATGGTCGTCCACAATGTTCGGTCTGTGGAAGTTCTATATTTCTCTGTCTTATAAAACCTAGGTATTTAGTTCGGTAACTAGAGAAACTAAACTAAACTATTAACTCAAAATGTAAAGATCGAAACAAATACTTTCGGGCTTAGGAATAGATGTATTTTGTATCAATTTTTGTACAAATACGGCCACAGGTTTTCCGCCGCCCCGCGCCATGTTTTCAAAATGGCGGAGTGGCGTACGAGACTCTTTACGACTTCCGTGAAAATTATAGCCGTGCTGGGGCGTTAAACTTTTATATTACCATGTTGGTCCCGTGTAGGGTGTTATAATAACATTATTACTGCAAAAAGGGTTTTATTATATGTGAAAAAAAAATAATATTCAATTCAACAAATACCCATTTAATAAATAGTCCTTTTGGTCTTGGTAAAATTTTAATTCTTTTACAAGTTTGTACAAAAAATAAATAATCAATACTTAAAGTAGGATAAAATTCATAAATACATTTGACAAAATAACATCTTCCTTCTAAGCCCTTAAAGTGATCGTAAAATAAGCCTAAATTCGCGTATGGCACGCATAAAAACTGTTAACATGCAATTATCCCATTGAAAACAGTCGTAAAACTATGTTATTGAAGCATTTCGACTCCCCAGTCACGCAAACTCCTTGACAATAAACTTTTGGGATATCAAGAAAGTATATTTCGATTTGTACTTGTATATTTCTAATAAGAATGTTTCCGCGAAATCGACAAAGAGTGGAATTCATTTGAGAAAAAAATCCTACTCCTTTTGGACAAAAGATGGCAAGAGATCGATTTTTGTAAGGTAAGTATTTTTTGTTACTTCATATTATTTCCAGTATTTATTAGTTTTTTGTTACATAAACATTATGACGTATTAATTATTTTATTCTGCATGTAATTTATATAACGATTGTTTAAAATATCGTGTTACTTATTTAGGAAAACAAATTGTTAAATGAAATTGAATTTAAGACGACATATTTACGTCTTACTCTGTCTTTACTTCTAGTGGTAAATGTACATATGGTGGCATATGACGATTTTATAAGGGTAATCAGAGGTATTTTAATTACGATTTGCGTTTTCCTTTACTACAGATAAGTACTAAAGATACGTCAATCGGAGCATAAAAGTGAGACGTAGATAAGAACGGTATTTGGTAATTAAAAAGTAGATGAAACAAATTTATTATCTATATTACAGATACAAATTTTCGTATGCATATTTTCTATCGTCCATTAAAGATAACCCATGATTAACTTATACCGAACGCCGCTCTTAAATTCAAAATACCTCTGACACCCGCTTATTACGACCCGAACGCATTCGAAAACTCGCAACCTTTCGAAAAAAGATGATTGAAGACTTACAAAAAAATATTCAAAAGTTTAATATCCCTGGCAGGTAAAAGGAACTGGTAGGTTAACAAATTATTTTTGGAATTCGTTTTTTTGACCACTGAAAACCATGTTTTATCTTAAACACTTTCAACATCATATAGAACTTTTAAAGTGATTTTAGGCATTATATTAATTTTGTTTAGAAGTTATAATAATTATGAAATGTATTGATTTGATTAATACTCTATTAAAATATTTAAATCAAAAGTAATTTAAAAAGTGACAGAATAAGTTAACAACAAAATGAATAAACTTATTAACTAATATTGTACGAAAAAGTATTTATGTTAAAAAATGTCTTATGAATTCTTAAAGATAAATTCTACGAAAGTCTCGGCAATATTACACAGGGGACTATTCCGAATTCATAATCGCTTATTAAATTGTTCGAAATTGTAGAAGGTGTGCGGCTGAATTGAATACAGTTTCGGAACTTTTAATATTCCTTTTTTATTCTTTTAAACTTACATAGTACATGGTGCTCAATTAACTCAAAGAGGTTTTAATCTATGAAAAATATATCTACAGAAATAAAATAAATATTGCAAAATTATTTGCGTCACAAAACGTAAAATAATTAAATTGAGATTGTTTTTAGTGTTTATGTTGAATTTTATTAATAAACTGTAATAATTTGCTCTCTTCTAAGAAATATAATATAAAGCAATCAACGTCGAAGCGGCGAGCATTTCACCTTCTCTTTCATAATTTACTCATTTCAATTAAGGTGAGGTACAAAGTGACGGTCCAAATATTAAAGCGTAGGTTTCCACTGCCTATACAAAATATTGTCATCTCTTTTTTTTTAAATAGATTGAACTGGAGGCCATTATTTCTTTAGACAAGATTTTCATCAATGGAAACTTTGCTCCAGTCACTAATTTCAACGAATATTATTAAATTTTCATTTTGTTCTCGCTTTTATATTTATTAGGATTGATGACTGAAATGATTACTTTTTTATTCCAGAGATATGATATTAAATACTTAATTGCAGTTCTAAAAACTTAATGTATTGCAATACTTAAGAACATTATTATCTATACTATTATAAAGAGGAAAGATTTGTATTTTAGTATGTATTGAAATAACTCAAAAACTATTGGGTAGATTTCAAAAATTATATCACCATTAAAAAGCTATATCAGTGAGTATATTTTTTAAATGACGTAGGTGGAGTCGCGAGCAAAAGTTGGTTTTAAATCATCATCATCAACTTGCCCTTATCCCTTATGGAGGGTCGGCGCAGTATGTGCTGCTCCATACATCACTATCAGCCGTCATATCTGAATCCACTCCTTTCTTAAGCATATCCTCTTTCACACAATCCATCTGTAATTTTTTCGGTCTTCCTTTTCCTTTAATATTATTCGTAATTGTTCTTTAGTAAACAAGTAAATGCCAAATAAGAGTATGTTAAGAGTCCGATAGCAAATAAGACATTTGTATTTTATTATCATTGGCGACTTAAATATAACGGTACACTTGTCCAACTGGTTACGACTATTTATTAAGATTTATAGATTCAAATACAAAATGTTAATCATATTGATAAACGTTTATAGACTTCTAATTAAATCTATATTAATATCTATTCTATATTCTATACTATTATAATAAAGCGTAAACACACACTTCTTTGTTGCCTAACACGTCAGCAATTACAGCATATTTTTGAATAATTCTCTTTTTAATAAGCCCTACACTTACGTCATGCTTTAGGCTATAAATTTGCACGTCATTAAAATTAGGAGGTAAACATTTTGGATAAAAACCCTAATGTGGGAAAGAGACCATAAGTTGCTGCCAACATCAAGAAAGATTAGTAGAATTATTGCACTTGTAAGTAGTTATTTAAAACAATGTTATTTTTGATGGTTGGTATTTTTGGTTGAGTTTTGTATTATAAAATAATGGTGGATATTTCATTAATATCAATTTCGTTTCGCCGACACAACGAACGTTCGCGAATATTAAATCCCTATTCATCTCCATTGCCGCTCATTATAGTCTTATTTAGCTTTAAAATACGCCTGGATTTTTCATCTTTCCTTCGCTTATTTAATAAAAACCTTTCCATAGACGAGAAGTTTAACGCCATCAATAAACGTCATAAATAAAAAAGCATTATGCTTTTATCAGAGTTGAAAGGAAAATTCTCTTTGTTCTTTTGTTTTTATACGTCGATTATGA